GTCAAGTGATTGACTTCAATTGCCACTTTGGCGAATTGTAGTTTAGTGCTGAGAATAGCAAGACTCTCTGATGATGCCAACCATGATGCCGGCCAGACGTCTGAGAACGTACCAAACCCACTGTCTGACGCTGGGAAGTATGATACCTATTACGGCAGAGGACTTTGGACAATGTGTGTCCAACTAAGTCCCCCTGACAAGAAGACAAATTTGCAAAAGCCAGATTAAGCCACTTCAGTATAAAAGCAACCAAGAGAATTCTGAAACCTACATACTCATAGAAAAGTAATGGAGCCTACAGCACCAACCGGTCAAATTCGTCTGGTTGAGTGGTTTCGCTAACTGCTCGAAGGATGAAGGATGAGTATATTCGATAGTTTAAACACTACTGAAATATCGAAGCTATGAAGATAAAGATGTTGTGGCCGGAATGGCCGCAGTCTCCTTTCGATGTATAGAAGTGGGTTGACCGCTCTTTCACATTCTCATGATAATGTACCATATCCATGGTCTTCCTCTGGGAATTATGATAACTACTATAGCAGAGGACTTCGGACAAGATCTGTCCAACTAAGTTGTCTTGACGACAAGAGCAAGTTTCGAAAGCGAGGTCAACCCACGGCTAATGAATTATGTCTAGATGGAGTATGTCTTGAAACCACCATTAAATCTTGACGAACAACTGCATTCCCTCCAAGTAGCAAAAGGAGATGATGGATTTCCAGCTGAAATTTGCTCCAACGGCCACGTGATGCCTTTCAAAAAGGTGTTCTCGACCCTGCCTGAATGGGCTGCAGTTTCGACTTCACCTCATCGGAGCTCGTATTCAGACGCTATAGCATCTTCTTCCAACAGACCGCCAATAGGCAACTCTATGATTGTGGGAACATCGAACTTTCAATATTTTATCTCCTCATACGACCTAGGGTGAATACGGACCTTATAACTGAATTATGCCTAGTTTGGTTTGGTTTCTTCTACTGGCTTCCTCCTGGAAATTCATTTAATGGAAGAAGATCCACAGAGTATGTGCGAGGCTACAAAGGAGGTGGGCCTACCATCACTTGATATCCTTCACAAATGGACTCGTCACATCATACCCTATAATCCGTAAACAGATCTTGCTCACAGAACTAGAGGCAACCTTATCGTCTTCTCCTCTCCCCTCCCCCTTCCCACACACACAGAAACAGAGGACATGCTAATTGAAAGAGGGTTTCTAAATCTTACATTCCCGGGCCCCTTTACACCATATCTTCTCTCACCCATGCGGGAGTTGAATTCTTCCGAGCGGTCTCGTCACCTCATTCTGAGCTTTGCCCTTGTTGAGGTTGATCCTGTATCTTCCGATCCTGGGAAGTCCTTAACCCTAACCCTAACCTTAACCCTAACCCTAACCCTAACCCTAACCTTAACCCTAACCCTAACCATAACCATAACCATAACC